TACCCCCATAATATGCCGGAAAAAAAAAAAACCTTTACATAGAAAAAAAAATTTAAAAAAATAAATGCTTTGGTAACCTATGCTTCCAACGAGCAAAGACCTACCTTATACCTGGAATCTTCTCCAGATATTGCCATAGGGTAACACTAAGTATGAAAAGGGCATCAGCTTGTAGCACAGTCCATGATGCCGGGGTAGAGAACGGGCATCATCCCTGTGAATGCTTCTTACAGAACATAAGTGGAAATTCCCAAACCTTTGGAGTTGTATCCTGTAGTCAGAGGTCATGTACCTCTACCCATCCTGATCAAAGAGGTGTGAGGCCACGCCTGTCCACTCTGCCTGGACTCACCAACCCCTGCTCTTGGCTACACCTACCAGCTTCCGTATGCGGTCCAACACCAGGTCAATGCTCTCCTTGCCCACTGTATAGTGGCCCCGGGCATAGTTGTTAGCTGCATCCTCCTTTCCTGTGATCAGCTGCTCTGGATGGAAGAGCTGGCGGTAGGTTCCAGCCCGAACTTCATCTGCCAAGAGAGGGAGGCCATTAGGTCTCACCACGTGGTCCCCAGGAGGAAGCCTCCCGTTAGATTCACGTGGTCCCCAGGAGGAAGCTTCCTGTTAGATTACCATGTGATACTCTTTTGGTTTCCTCTACCTATTAATATAAAACGCCACTGAGGTGAAACCAGACAGCCCTATAATAAATCTGCAAAAGGCTAAGAGAATTCATTCTTGGGTAACATAGGTAATGACAGAGCTAGGGCCTGTGGCTCAGGCAGGCAATTGCTGTGCTGGCTGGAACTTGAAAAACCTTAGGTTTGCAAAGCTCACCAGACACCAAAGTTGATTGCGCTCCTTCTACCTTGCCCCTGAAGGCTAACCTTTTGTTTTTTCTTTCATGCTGAAAGGTTATCCTTAATGCTGATAATATAACTTAATTTGCATTAGAATGTTCTAGGGACACAGAAAGTGAGTCCTGGTGATCTGCCCAGATCCTAGGTCCTCCCAGGAATTGTCTCACCCCCTCACCTCCACTTCAAGGTGGCAATGGTAAATGTCAGGCTTTGGACATGTTTTAGAATGACTTCAAAGCAAAGTTATGTTCCAGGTCCTAAAGGAGCAAGAGCCCCATAGCGGCTTCCAAGGAGGCTCGGCTCACCTCCAAGGGTCTACCAAAGTGGACACAGAGCAGATCAAGGTGCACCAAGCCCAACTACATCACCTCTTCTCTTCGGGTTTCCTCTACTCCCCCCAGGGAGAACATCCATGTATGCAGCGGCCTGGGAGGGTACCCTGCACTTTGCATTTGTGCAAAGCACCTCGGTGAGGAGAACCTGATCTCTGTCGCCCCTGGAAACGGGGGTCTCGGCCAGCACTCACCTACTACAGTGGGCTCCAGGTCTATCATCACAGCCCGGGGCACGTGCTTGCCATTGCCAGTCTCGCTGAAGAAGGTGGTAAAGGAGTCGTCATCATTGATCTTGCTGGCTTGGGTGCCAAAGGTGCCATCTGCCTGGATGCCGTGCTCCAGACAGAAGAGCTCCCAGCAGGCATTGCCGATCTGAACTCCCGCCTGGCCCACGTGGACGGATATGCACTCCCGCTGCAGGGAGGGCACACCCGGTCAGAGCGTCTCAGCGCCCCAGCCACGCCTGTCCCCTGTCCCTCATATCTGAGGGCTTGCCTCTCACTGGCATTCACCTTGCAGCCATGCCACCCCCATCACTAGGTAGGCTTCAAGGTGGCAGGTGCCTAGGCACCATCGCAGTGGGACCAGGACTTGGCTCCAAAGAAGACACAGTTGTTTTGCAGTTTGCTTTAAAGATTGCTCTTCAGGGTTAATCCTTTGTACCAGAAAAAGAAAAAAGTGGGCATCTGCAGAGATGAAGCAAGGGGCTAATTCCAAACCATAATACTCCTGTTCTGGTGAAGAAGGCCCAAGGAAGAACCAGTGATAATGGCAGAAACTATCCCTCATTTACTACCACACACAGGGGCAGCATTCACATTCATTCCTTAACCCTGGCTTTCCAAGACATCACACACACACACACACACACACACACACACGCACACGCACACGCACGCACACGCACGCACGCAGAGTCAGAATACCCTAGAGCAGACGAACACCCGTGAAAGGAATGTGCTTTGGAAGTACACATCATGGGTGTCCCTAGTGTCACGGCTACAAAGACAGACATGAGAAAGGATTGGTATTTCGTCGAGAGAGGTTTGGGAGGGTATAAACGAGGCTCTTCTGAATGCTGGGGAACTGTAGCTGCCTTAACCTGTCCTTTTGCCTATGTCAGGCCAACTGTTAAATAAAGCTAGCCCTTGGAGCGTCCTTATCTCTGCAGTGCTTGATGGGAAGCCACAATTACCTGGCTCATCCTAGTGCTGACAGCTCCAGATGCGGAGTTGTGTGTCTACAAGTGCACGTGTGTGTGTGTGTGCGGACAGAAACCCACCATGAAGGTTTGCTGGGAAGATGGACACCATCACCCTTACCCCAGCCCAGCCTGTGCGAGGCAGCGGCCCATGAGGCGGCTCTGTGCCTGTGGGGCCCGCCAGAGCCCGGCAGGGAAGCATGTGCCTGGTCTGCGGCTTCTATTCTTATCCATGACCTGACTTGGCATTTTCCAGCTCTGGGTAACCCAAGCCAGGAGCAGAGCCTCCCGAGAGCATGGCTGGGCTCGGAAGCAAGTGGAGTCCACATCAACGTGCAGGGCTCCTGGGAACGGGGAGGAGTCCCCAGGCATGCCCTGAGCAGCATCTGGAGGGGTCAGAAGCACCAGGACCTGTTGCTAACCTAATTCGGTTTTACAGTGAGCCCTACTCTACAGCTGTCTCTGTGCTGGAGCTGAGCGATGGCCCTTGTCTCTGGGGAGGACGGAGCACAGGTATGCACCGAGGCCCGTGTGTAACACAGCCCAACACGGAGTGCAGCCCAGCTGAGCTGCGTGGGCCTGGTGGCCAGGGAAAGCCTTCACTCCACAGTTGTCCCCATCCCAAGGTTCAAATCTTGTCTTCTCCATTTACTTGCTGTGCTGTGTGACCTTGGCGGAGTTATTTAACCTCCCTCATCTGAAAATAACAAGCCAGCTACTATTGTTGCTGTTGCTGTCTTTACTGTTTATCATTTTCATTATAAGGCTACCTTGTAGCCTTTCTCTGCACTGGGAAGAAGTGCATGTAGGAAGTTCGAGATCTTAGGTCCCCATTCCTCTCTCCTTTATCGTGGTGTATTTTCTGCCTCCCTCTTAGGACTCAATTCAGGCCTAAGGAGAACAGCGGCCTACATGCAGGAGCCACCCTACACCCAGCGCGTTACCCCCAGACCACATCTGCACACGCAGCTGCACCAACCAAGAGAAAGGAAGGTCTCTGAATACCATCCCCCACTAACAGGAACCAGGGCTCCTTGGAGAAATGGAAATTTCCAGGTCTGGGGCGGGGAATGTACAAGATGAGCCTGGAACGTCTCACAATGCCTAAAGGCACAGAAGCTCACAAAGGCGGGATGATGTCTAAGCCAACTGGAAGAGGCTCCCGCTGCCAAAGATGACACAATTTGAGCATCAGAAAGAATGATGACAGTAATGATTAAAACAAGATGCATACAGAAAAATCCACAAGTCCTAAAAGAAAACCCCCAGAGAAAAACCCATTTGTCCCCATCCAAAAGGCCCTGTTAATTAGGGAAATCTGTTTTATTTAACAGAAGACAGTGTGCTGATCACTGTAGATATAGATTATGAAGTATTGCTGTATTACAGCTTCTAACCATGTAACTGATTGGGAGGGAATGCCGACACCATCAGATGAAGGGCTGATGGGGAGCTGGACTTGCAGAGCCGAGGAGTCGCCGTTACAGCCGCAGGGGGAAAGTATCTGACGCTGTGATCAGTGTGAGTGTCACTAATGGTGACACGACCTGACATGGAAGGCCTCCTGATGTGATGCAATTTGACACACACTCCACCACCCAGGAGAAATTCTTGTAAAAAATACTCAGCCTTAATCTACTAAACCCTTTAGATTTAACTTCTACGTCACAGAAAACACAGGGATCAGAGGGATAAGGTAAGTGATATCAGAGAAACAAAATAAATCCAGAAGGTGGCATAGCAGCCACATATGCTGTGTGGACTCTGACTGAATTCTGGTTTGAACAAATCCAAATATTTGGGAGATAAATAGAGATACTGATTGATTTTTGTTAAGCATGATTATAAAAATGTGGTTAAGTATGAAAATGTCTTTTTATTCAGGGTTGCAACTGAAGCTATTTAGGGGTAAAATGCCATGATGTCTGTACTTTAAGACACTTTCACAAGCACCAAAGTAAATACAGGGAAAAAAATTCTTACTATAATATTAAATCTGGGTGATAGATATATGGTAGCATTATACTACTTTACTTTGCGGAAGGTTTGAAATTTATCATAACTGTTTTCATAAAAAGCAAAACATAATAATAACAAAGCAGAGCAGGAGCAGGGACCCCACGCAGCATAATCGTCTTTTCCCAAGGGCCTGGTGCGCGTAGTCACTTATTCCACTAACATTTACTAAGCGCCTAATTTGTGAGAGCAAATAAGGATTTTAAAGTTACATGTAGAATCACAGTGAAATTAAAAGTTGCATGAGGCTTCTCGGAGCTCTGCGGCGTGCGCACACCTGCAGCATTTGCTGTGCTTCCCGCCTGCTCCTGGAGGGAACTGGGCACCGTGCGAAGCTCCTCCATGGAGCTGCCCTGGCCCAGGCACTGTGCTGGCATTCTCCAGCCACTCGGCCTGGTCACCATGCCCGTCCTCCGCCTGGAAGGCCCACCCAGACAAGCCCAGAGCAGGCCAGCGCCTCCAGCAAAGGCTGTGCATCTATCACATCACAGCCAGAGATGTTCTAATACATTGGCTTCGAATAGTCAGGGTCCTATAGCTGGACTGGCCACATGGATCACCTAATAGGATTCTCTCTCCATTTTTTTACAGATGAAAGAGTGGAGGCTCAGAGAGGTAAAGGGACAAATCCAAGATTGCACAGCTCTGCAGCAAAAGAGCCTGCACCAGAATCCAGGGCTTCTGACCCTGGCCCGAGCTCTTTCCTTCACACCACACAACCTCCTGCTTCACCTGCTCCTGCACTTCTAAGGCCCTGGTGTGCCCACATCTACATCAGCATGAGACCAAGCTTGTACAGCAAAACTCCAAGCAGGTAAGAGCTTCAGTGCAGAGAGAAACAGTGACTGGCTCATGGGGGTAGCCTCTGAAAATGGGTCAAGAATCTGTTTCTCAGGGCCAGTGCGTGCAGCTGGGGGTGGGGCTGAGGGGTTGGGGCAAGGGTAAACTGACCCAGCAGAAGATATTTAAGTCCTACGTTTGTTCCAAACTCATATTTCAGATTCCCCTCTCTAGCCAACCAGAGCGCATGCGTTCTTGCTCACACTATTTCTCTCTCTCAGTTCTATTTCGAATCTGGGCTTGTGGAGCTCAGACAAGTTCTGTTCTCCTGGGACCCTGTGAGGTGTGAGGGGTCCCCTGCGTGCTGCTGAAGCCTCACTGCCCAGCTGTCTAGGGGGTGAGGATGAGGGAGATGGAGAGACCTGGGAATTCCTTTCCTCAACATCAGTCTGACGCCCCTTCCACAGACCTTGTGCTGAGATGATTACCGAGGTGCCTACTCTGTTTATTCCTGTAACAGATTTGGGGCTATTATGTGCAAGAAGGCATGGAGAAGTACTGGGTAACTGCTACTCAGTCCTTCGGCTCTCAAGTTAGACATCACTTCCTACAGGAAACCTGGAGAACCCCAAGCCAGCCGAAGGCCCCTACCGTTTGCTGCCATAGTCCCCTTCGCCCCAAGCATCATGTTTATTGCACCGAATTCAAGTTACTTGTTCAGTTTTCTGATGTTCCTAGTAGAGACCTTAGGCTCTGTGACACAAAGGAACCTTTGTTTCCTCACTGAACACTCAGCACTGAGCCCAGTGCTTGAATGTGGCGCTCAGTACATACAGGAATGATTAGGACGAGACCCTCCCCAAGGGTCCACTCAGCAAGGACAGGGCCGGAGCCTAAGAAGTGTAGGATCAAATGCAATGGGAATTCAAAGGAGAAAAAGACAACTTCTAGGTTGGCTTCCTAAAGGAGGAATATCCACAGGGACCCTGATGAATGCAGACATGCTAAGACGACCTGGGGACATTTTAGGTGGACGTGGGAGCAGTGTGAACAAGAGGCAGGAAAATTTAGGGCAGGTCCCACAAATTGCCGAGTTTGTCTGGAATGTAGGCTCGCAAAGGGCAGGGCGGACGAGACCTCCAGGCCACCTGTGGCCATCCTGCCTGGGAAGGAGAGCCTATGTTTTGCAGAACATCAAAAAAGGAAATTCTAGAACTTGCAGCCCTTTTATAATTCCACTGCAAGAAACCCTTTCTTATGTCAATCTTATATTCTTTCTATTTTAGTATTAGTCATTTCCCCTTGCTTTGCTCTCAGAGGATCAAGATAAGCTAATCACTATCCTCAGTAGAAAGGAGGCTTTGAAGCTTTAAACATCATTTCAGGCCAGGCACAGTGATTCACATCTGTAATCCCAGCACTCTGGGAGGCTGAGGCAGAAGGATCTCTGAGGCCAGGAGTTCAAGACCAGCCACGGCAACATAGCAAGACCCCATCTCTACAAAATTAAAAAATCAGCCAGGCGTGGTGGCACAAGCCTATAATCCCAGCTACTCAGAAGGGTGAGGAAGGAGGGTCACTTGAGCCCAGGAGTTTAAGGCTGCAGGGAGCTATGATCATGTCACTACACTCCAGCCTGGGTGACAGAGCAAGACCCTGTCTCTATTTAAAAACAAATTAGTTTGAAGCCTCACAAGACAGTAAAACTGGCTATTACGAAGAAAGGAGGTGGCACAGGCCACAGTGTACGCTGTGTGAAAGCCTGAGACCAGTCCACACCCCCTTGCTCGCCGTGGACTCGGATGGCACGCAGCTGCGTTCAGGAAGCATGTGACTACGCCAGATCGTTTCTAGCTGTCGGGCTGAAATAACACATCACGTGTATTTTAGAAGCTAGGTCAGGGGTGGCAAGTGAAAAGCAGATCTAGTTTGACAGAGGAGATTAAAGTAAGAACAAACGTGATTCACAGAACGTCGTTCGCATTATCTCACACCGGCTCTGCTCGGAACCCTTCAATAGGAGAGCACACACATTTGGAATCGGCCAGAACAGCAAAAATAAAGCATCGACCTATAACGACTTAGCGAGTCAAGGTCACCCAGGAGAGGGCCCGGATGCAGGCGCTGCAGTTAGGGCGGCTATGGGGTTCACATCGGACGGACTTTGGGGATGTCGGGGTGTCTAGTAAGGAGGCCCCCAGCATCCGGGACGCTGTGACGTAAGAAGGCCTTGAGCTGTGGCTGACACTGGGGCGGGGGCGGGAAAGAGCCGAGTTTAATCCCATGCACTCGGGGCCTGCTCCACTTTCGTTCTCTTATTCACAGCTTATTATCTAGGAGAAACGCTACCAGGAAGACACTAACAGGGGACATGCCAACCACAAAGGCCACAGACAGTGCCGCCCAGCTCTGCACAGGCCTGACGCGAGCTTAGAGGTTCCCACGGGAACTCGCCGGTCCCTTCGCTCTCTCTTTTTTTTTTTTAGAGACGGAGACGGGGTCTTGCTCTTGCTCAGGCTGGTCTCGGACCCCCGAGTTCAAGGGATCCTCCCGGCACAGCCCACCGACTGGAGTCCTCGGCCGCCCCCTTCCCCCACTTTCTAGCCCACAGCTGCCAGCTGGGGAGCCGGCCGGCCCCTCCCGCGTGCGCAAGCCCCCAGGGCCCGAGTGGCGGCGGCCAGCTCCCTGCTTTCCCCGAGCGACCGAGGGAACCGGGCACCAGGTGCTCCCCGCCGGAGGGTGCGGACCTCTCGGCTCTGCGCTGACACCCGCCCGCCCCGAGACTCCGAGCTCCGCAGAGCCGGAGCGGCGGATCCGCTCGCCCCCCGCGTAGACACGCCCTCGCTGGGCTCGCGCCCGGCCGGCGGCCCGGGAAGCCTCACCATCGCGGCCGCTCTCCTCGCCCGCTCGCCTCGCAGCCGGGCCTGCCCTCCCCAGCTGCTCCGGATACGGCCGCCTCCGCTGTTGTGACTCGCTGGGAGGCAGGGCGCCGGGGACAGACATGCCGGGCCGGCGGCTGCCGGGCAGCATCACAGTGCCTGGGAGGGGAGGGCCCCGGCGGGTCACAAAGGCTCGTCCCCGCCCACCGCCGCTCCGCTCCCGGCGCGCACCTGCCGGTGCCCCTTGCGGCGGGGCTCCTCGCGCCGGCCGGGCAGGCGCCGCTGTCGCCAGGGCGCGCGTGCACGCGTTCTCGGCGTTCTCGGCGTGCGCCCTGCGAGGGCAGCCGTCACAGCTCCACCCGCCCGGGAAAGCGACAGGAAAATGCGGAGACAAACTGTTCACGCCTCCGCAAACTTTCGCTCGCCGCCGCCGCCATCACCAGCTGGCCGGGCAGGAAAGGCCCCTGGTGGGGCTCGGCTGGCTGCAGCCGCCCTCAACCCGCCAGGAGGCCGAGCGGCCAGGCTCCGCAGCCTCCGCCCGAAGCCGGGTCCTCCCACGCGCCCGCCCGGCCGCCGGGAGCCGAGTGCGAGGCGTGCGCACGGCTCCTGCAGCGCCGCGGGCGCTCGGTGCTCCGGCTGTGCCTGCTTTCGCTGCTCCATCAGCGCACCTCCCCTCCGCCAGTGTTTGCAAACCTCTCCCCTTGATCCCCCTACTTTTAAGTCGCAACGTCGGGTCCCGCGGTCTTGCCCAGCTGTAGCGCCGCCTCTCTGCAGCCACGCCACGTGGAAGGGCAGCGAATTGCCCTCCCCGCCCCCACATGGGCGGGAGAACGAGCCTGCCTTCGATTAGAGGCCCTCTTTACCCATTTATCACTTTCGTCAACCCTTCCCCCACTCCACTCTCCTCGCCTCTTTGGCCGGTGGGCTGCAAGGTGGTTTTCCCTTGTTCTCACTGCAGAATTCCCCGCCTGGGGCTATTTCATGCTGAGGGTGTAACCCCTGCTTCTCTTTCTCTGCCACTTTCCTCGGGCACCTGACCTCCAGGCACCAAGTCGCCGCAGACAAGGCCGTCGTTCCTCCTCCAGACACTGCTACAGCAGTGCTGCTGTGACCGGACTCCATGACTCTGACGGTTCCAAGCACACTTAGAGGTTTAGCTTCCCTTTCACTCCCAAAGAGCGACCTAGCTCTGGCCAGGAGAGAGTGAGAACAGGTTTTTCCTTATCTATGCAGCAATTTGTTCTGCTGGCCACCCATTCATATACTTTCCGATTTATAGTAAGAGTTTGTAGAGGATAGGACATGTGTCTTAATCATCTTTGCGCCTGAGAGAGTACCAAACACAATGCTTTACCCATTGATGCATACAGTAATTAGGAGGTTATCAGTTGAATTTTTGTCTATCTTATAATGCAAAATCCTGAAAATTAAGAATCATGATTAAGCTAACTGTGCCAAGCACATGGCAAGTGCTCAATAAAGGATGATGATTATTATTAACTCTATATTTATTTCTCTTCCAATCTCATAGTATATTCCATTACTTCTTCCATGGTATTTATCACTTTTTACTGTGGATTATAGATGTGTGTGTGTGTGTGTGTGTGTGCGTGTGCGCGCACCCTTAAACACTCCTACAAAGCTGCAACCCTGTTCATCTTAGGGTCCTCCTCGCTAAAGGTAGCTAGTTGAGTGCATCAGATATGTCCAATAAACATTGCTGAATAAATATATCATGAACAGGTTGTTACAGTCTCCTGATAAATATGATGATGATGATGATGATGATGATAGCTAGCAATGATGGTGGCACTGAATTACCTGGCATTATGATGATGTTCTTGAATTTCCTCGTCTTTCCTCTTCATGGCGTTTGGGGCTGGATGGAGCTATGACTACACCATAAATGCTGAAGATAGCATCTTTTGGTTCTAGGGAGATAAAAAGATGGTTGGCTATTATGGACTGAATTGTGTCCCCCATCCAAATTTATATCTTAAAACCCTAACCCCCAATGTAACTATATTTGGAGATAGAACCTTTAAGGAGGTGATTAAGATTAAATGAGGTCATAAGAGTGTGGCCCTGACCCAGTAAAACTGGTATTCTTCTAAGAAGAGGAAGAGACAGCAGCAGTGTGCAGGCACAGAGGACAGGCCCTGTGAGGACACGGTGGGAAGGCCGTCGGCATGGCAAGGACAGAGGCCTCAGGAGAAACCAGCCCTATCGACACTCTGACCCTGGACTTCCAGCCTCCAGAACTGTGAGAAAATACATTTCTGCTGCGTAAGCCACCCAGCCCATGGTGTTTTGTTATGGCAGCCCTAGCAGACTAAGACAGTGGACTTGGAGTCTTTGGAGTAAAAAATGTCTACTTCTTTTTGGTTTTTGAGTCCTCTCCCTTAAAGTTATTTGACTTGTGGCATCCCAGATCTATTAGTGATCTTCTTCCATCCCACCCCTCTGCTCTCCTCCCCGAGTAGAAGTTTGGAAAGGAAAAGGGACAAGCTATTTTAGTCCCTGTGATGTTTAATTTTATGTGTCGACTAGACTGGGCCATGGTGTGCATAGATATTA